GGCTGATTTTTCCTTTATTGAGAACTCTAACTGGAAGATCCACTGAAACTATCTTTCTATCTGGTACAGAGGTGTCAAATTATTTTAGGATGGGATTCAAATGACCCCAACCCACCCAGTTCTCCGAGAAGAGGCAGATGAAGCCAAGCAGCAGCTGAAAGAATGGCTACAAAGTCATACCATTTCACACATTTTCCAATCTGATCAAGTATTCATGTAGCTTTCCTCGTTTTAAAAAATAGCTTCTTTAATGTATCCTCTATCATGTTACTGCTCTGCATCCTATCCTCAAGATTCAGCAGCTTCAAAGAAATAAGAGCCTTTTGCTTCGAAGGTATCTGGTCCCCCTATTTTGTTTTCCGGTCACATACTTCATGTGTTTCAAAAATACTTTAGTCAACTTTTAGAATTCAATAACTGACTTTGATAGAGAAATTACTGTTCCAGTGTATGGCAAATGACAATGGTCTAGAACACTGTTAAATTTAAGTCTTGAAAATGAACTTTAATAAAATGTGCTCCAATAATGTAGTGTGACAGCTTTTAGAGAAATCAGCTTCAATACTCTGATTCTCCCAGGAATGCACTGAGATATACTCAAGCAGCCTTGAGCCACGGAATAAGCAAGCAGACAGCTTTATGATAAATGGTCCTAGAAACCTAAATTACAACTGCACCAAATGAACAATATGTCCAAATTATTTGGTGGCTTTTTTTGTTGCAGAGACAGCTGGCATGAATACAGTGTGTGCTGTCATCTTTGCCTCAAACCGACAGTGACACCTAGTGGGCAAACACCCAGTCAAGAAACTAGACCCTGGCTTAAAGGCTGCTGCAGGCTAAATGTCTCTCATCTAAACAACAGAGTTGATCCATCAAAGAACAGCAAAATGTCCCCAGAAATAGTACACTAGCATTTGGTACCATACCACAAGTGGAAGGCAGATGATGGTGGCACTATTCCCATCCTTCAGCCTACTCCAATCTACCCAGAGCTAGAAAATAGTCATTAGTTCTATTATTATTCAGATACATAGCACCATCAATGACATCGTACTTTAAAACAGGTGAAGGCATTAAATTTAAAGATGATAAATCTAGAGCACAATCCTAAAAGTCCTACAGCTCTCTGTAGCACCCAGCTGGAAGATCCGGAGAGTTGTAGGACTTCTTTTTCTATCCAAATATTTATAGAATTTCACCCCTAATTAATCAGACTTCCTAATTAATACTAACAGGTCCTTCCCATCTATATCTGGCTTGGGTCCAAAGATATATGGTTTGACTTGTAGCGCAAAGAAGCACTTAATTATACAGACAACTATTTGAAATCAGTGAGAATTAACATCTTCACACATCTTTTCATCCAGCCTTAATGTAGACAGAAAAAATAGGATTGGCTTAATGTATTCACCAGTGAAGGCTCTGCCTCCCCTTAAGTTAAGCCAAATGAGACTCCAAGAATGTGAATAAAGACAGAATATGGTCTCTGGGGCAAGGTCTGATTTGCACTGTTGTATTGTGCCAGTTTCTGTGCCCATTACCATAAATGGAAACTCTGATGTTTTAAACTTGGCAATTAGTTACCACATGGTGGTCTAACCTACTCAAGGAACCTTCCTTTTGCTTCTTGCTTATTATACACTTTTACAGAAATCTCCTAGTTTGTTCTATAGCTTAGCTCTTTCTGAGGCATGAAGTAACTTTATTGAGCAACAATTCTCATCATGTTCTCTTTTCCCCCAGGTCAAGTTGCTTGCCAGTAGTAGACCAGTAACAAACTGTGATTCAGAAAGCAGTGTTTTTAGCTAGATATGCCAAATATGACCATTGTTGTTACATGCTGGCAAGTAATCTCTGACTTATGCTGACCCTGTAAATGAAAACCCTCCAAAACCTATCCATGACATCCCTGCCTAGCTGTTCATCTGACCATAGCCTTGGTCATACTTTTTCCTATTGCATTTTAATTACATCCATGAGCCTGTATTTGGCCCTCCTGGGTATACTTCATTTGGTCCCACTCTCTTCCTGCCAACCAGACTTACTTACTGGGAATAAGAGCTTTAAAGCAGAATATAAGCACAATGTAATAATATATTTCATTCTTAGAGTTTGTAATGACACTCTGGGCCAGTTCACACAATTGCTGCAGCCCACTGTGGCTCCTGCAAGGGTTAGACATCTACATAGGAAAGAATTCCTGTATAACCTGGGGGCTCTTTCAGGGTTCTGGGAGGGCTAATTCTTGCATAAACCAACCTCACTGGGTTTGCATGACATAAGCCATAGCACCCATGTACCATGGCTTGAATATTCAAAAGGGCATCCAGCAAACAATACAACCTGTCGTGGTTTAAATTAGCCACACTGGGCTGTGATGATCATGTGAACCCAGTCCCCATGTGTGCAGTAGCTGCATGTTCTGCTGAATGCATCGGGGCAGTGATTGTGCAAGACAAAGGTTCAGTTCAATTGGAGTTTAGCCAGCAATGGCATGGGTCAGAGCTTATCTACATGAGAGGATGAATAACTCCTCCATACATGGCAGCTATTTGTTCCCACTGTTGAGCTGGAGAGTGAGAAAAGTGTTAGAGTGATACAATTCAGGACACACTAATCATATAGAAGCAATGTGGTACAGTGTTGGACTGAGACTTAGGAAAGCTGGAGTCTGTCGAAGTCCCCACTCAGTCATAGTTCACTGGGTGAAGCTTTTGTTCCAGTTTGAATTTGACTCTCGGTCTAACCTACTTGACTTACTGTGAGGATAACATGGAAAGGAGAAAGAGCACGGAAGATGTCTTGGGTTCCTTCAACAAGAGGAAAGATGGGATATAAATGTAATAATAATTTTAAAAATCATAAATGGGTTGGGGGGAAGGAAGAGGGTTTAAAAAATTGTATTCCCCCTCCCTTGTTTACCTGGGTGTACCTCTCTGTCCTTGTATTGCCACTTGCCAAAGTAGAACATCATTGTTACTTTTGAGTCCTAAAAGTGTCTGTGACAGCTGTAACTATGCATTCTTCATTTCCCATCCCTCTTGTAAATGGTAATACTTCAGGGCCTCTCCCATATTTTCCAGGCATTTTCACAGGGATGTTTAGAGTAAGAAAAATCAGGTATTCAAATTCAGACAGCAACAAAAACTTCTTGAAAACTTATAAATCCACTACACTGCAAGCTGTACCATAGGGCCATCCTATGCCTGATTAAATATATATATATAGAAAGGCAGAAAAATACAATCCATGGGGGAAAACCACTATGTAAAGGACATATATGTTGTCCTGGAATGAAAATAGGAAAGAAATCCTCAGTAAAGCAGCAGGTCAAACCCCTTGTGTAAAGAATACCTGAGGGGGAACAAGGAAAGCAGCAGCTCTAAAGCATGGATTATGTGTGCCCAAACTCACTCTATCCAGGGTTAGCGTTAGTAAAAATTACTGTGGTTGCACAGAACAAGGAGTTTGTGCCTGGGGGCCTTAACTAAACTTGAGCACAATCTGTTCAGCGCCTTAAAAAATGAGTCTTTCAGAGTTTACTCCTCATTATCCACTGAACTTTGTTTAGTTCATTTGCATTGGAGGTAGGGTTGTGCTGTAATTGCTTAAATTCCACCCAATCCTGTGGTCCGATGTGGGCATAACAGTCGTTGGCACAGGGCAGGGGTGCATGAGTGGGTATTTTACATTTCCCCTTCTCGCACTTAAGTCAATAGAATGGAAAAAGCTTCTGCTGGTAACTCATAAGGCCCCATACCAGGTTGCCTGAAGCAGCCTTGTCAGGCAGCACCCCAACCAATCTCTATGCCCCCCCTTCCCTCCTTCCAACAGCTGGTGTTAAGTCCTACCATTGACCAGAATATGCCTCCTCTTTTTACACCTGCCTGCACTTCCTGAACAGCCATGCATCAGGGTCCATCCAGCCCACCATTCTGTTCACAGTGGCCTACCAGCTTTCCAGAGGATTTCACAAGCAGGACATGTGTGCAAGAACACCCATGCTCCCCAACACCTGTACAGAGCCAGTGTGGTGTAGTGGCTAAGAGCATGGGACTGGGACTCAGAGGATCTGGGTTCTAGTCCCTGCTCAGCCATGGAGCCAACTGGGTGACTGGGCCAGTCACAGACTCTCAGCCCAACCTACCTCACAGGGTTGTTGTTGTGGTGATAAGATGGAGGAGAGATGATGTAAGCTGCCTTGAGCCCTTTGTAGGAAAAAGGTAGGATATTAATCGCAATATAAATAAATAAATATTGCCTCCGATACTGGAGGTAGCATAGCCATTAGAAGTAGCACTCAGATCCATGGCTTGCTCAAGTTTAGACAAGCCACGGATCCCTCTTTCTCTGCTGTTTCTCTTCTGATGAAGCGTTTTAGCCATGAGAGTTTGGCCAGCAGTGCTACCTGTTGGAGTAAGTCCGGCAGGGATGGAGCTATTTTCCTACACCACGTAAAGAAGTACAACACAGATGACACTGAAAATCGTGGCTACAAATATCCAGATATTTGCAGCAAAGACGAGGAAGAATCTTGTGGTGCCTTAAGAGCTACCAAATACTTTCGTGGACTATAATCCACTTCATCAGACGCACGAAGCGTGTTATCCTCATTTGCCAGGCTGAGGAGGATAGTTGTCCTTATGTTCTGCTTTTGGGAGACTCAGCCACTGTTAGAAGCAAGATGCGGCGCTAAATAACCGCGCTCCCCAACTTAACAGGGCTGTACCCTTAGCAAACAGCCTGATCTTCCGGCAAACAATCGACCTCCACGCAATACCCCCCAGCATCCACTCTCAACGGCCTTTTCAATTGCGGCAGCAGGCCAAGTACATCTCCCCTTTACGCAGGCGCGTTGAAACTCAACCGCTGCGCCAATCCCTGAAATTTCCGTCATCGCTACTGCGGGTGTGGAAGGAAATTGCTGTTCTGATTGGTGCACGGAGGCGAGTGGGGGCGGGGCTGTGGAAGAGGCGGAACCCGGAAACGAGGATTTGGGCTGCTGGATGGCTACGGGAGTGGAAAAGTGTTGTATGTGTCTCATCGATGCTGCCTTCAGTCCATCCTCTGGGCTGGCTCTGGGTATGGACGCTGCACCTGCAGGGGCCGCTCGCTCTTGTCACTGGGAAGGAGGTCGACGTCGCCCACTATAGGTGAGCCCAGACCAGCTCAGATCCTGGTGGAGGGAGCTCAGCTCAGCCCGAAGTCTGGTTACTCCTTGGTTGCATCGTTCACCTGGGCAACTTTGCCTTTAAAGGTGCCTTCCTGTACCGCACCTTTGCAGGCAGGCAGGATCCCAAATGGTGGAGATTTCCCTTCCAGCATACCTCAGTGTGTGGGTGATCTGAACCCGTTGAAATTCCTTTATCTGAATTCATTGATGGGATGATTCTTCTTATATGGCACTTGTGATTCACAGTGTTCATAAGTCTTCGAATTTAAAGTAATTTTTTAAAAAGATAGATTTATCAGGGGCGCATTTCAAATTGGTCATTTAACCATAGAGGGAATGATCCCTTGCCTTCTAGATCTTGTTTGGAGGGCCTTAGGGATGGTTCTGATTCCCTGCTCTGATCTTAGAACTGGAAATCAGATCCTCTGTTCCTGCACTGGCTGTCCTGTGAGGTCAAGAGCCTGACTGGAGGGGGTTTGAAGGGTTTTGTGTGTTTTTTTTTGGGGGGGGCACAACACAGGGTGGGCAGGATATGAGGGATCCGGAGGCCACTCTTGTCTCCATTCCTTGTCTGAAAGCAACTGCTAGACAGCTGAAAATGTAGATCCAATGCAGAGGGAAATGAAGATTGCATCTTCCACTCCTCCTGCCCTGCATGCAATTGGAGCTCAGGGTCTTAGGGCTCCCCTTTGGTATTGCACCATTAAAATCAACTAAACTCTGTGGCTGTAGTAAACATCCCTATATCTCATTGACCCCAGTGCCAGGCAGTGTTCTGGGCATACTGTAGGTTGTCCTTGTGAGAAATCCTTTGTCAAACATTATGGCCTTTGGGGAAAGCATTTTATGTGTGGCTTTAAGACTATCATTGCCACACTTGTGGATATGGAAGGTCAGTGTGTGCTAGATGGTGTAGGGGGCCTCAACTTAATTACAGGATTTATAAGGTCCCCCATGTTCTCTCTATAAGGGTGAAAGGATGTAGATGCTACAGGCAGGATGCCCAGGGCTGTGCTTTGCAGCAGTCCTGAGAAACAGGTTGCTGTACATACTATCCTGGTGTTTCAAGGATTAAACAAATGTTTTTGTATTAATCACTTTTCATAAGGTTTCTGACGTGGTACTTTATTTTTTTCCCTTAGAGAGAGAGTCAAGTCCATGTTTTATCATGCTTATGATAACTACCTGGAAAATGCCTTCCCATATGATGAGCTGCGTCCTTTGACATGTGATGGGCAGGACACTTGGGGAAGGTACTGAGAAGAATAAATGGTTTGTGTGTCAGGGGTGCTGCTTGTAGAATGTTAAACCCTCTGGCAGAAAGAAAATGTGTCAGGTACTTTTATTCAGGTAGTTCATATAATCTAGAAAAGCTTTCCCCAACTTTGTGCCCTCCAGATGTGCCCATGCTGGAAAGTTATTATGGGGTTGTAGTCTAACACATTTGTAGGATACCAGGGAAGGCTGATATAAATCCAAGAACTCCTTGGAATAACAAGGAAAATACAGGAATGTCTCATCGGTATTGTGACTTTTTAAGCTTCAGTTGAATGCAAAAGCAGCCTGGAAGGCTGACAGCATGTGCTCATATGAGCAGGGTTTAGACATGGCTAGGATATGCTTGCATTTTATGACTCTCTTTTTGAAACATACTAAAATTGCACCTTTAGAATGGCATTTATTTAAAGTCCTTTTAATCCAACCTTTCCATCAGGATGTTCAAGGCTGCTCTTTCTTGTCTTATACTGAACTGTGATTTCATTTATTTATTGGTAATTTTCCTCCACCAGTAACATTGTGAAATTGCTCTGTTGACTTCTTCGTATAGGGTGATCACAGGATATTATTTGTGGAAGATCATCAACTTGTGTGAGAAGCTCTTACAAATTTGGCAATGTGATAAAATATTTGCTCAGATGCATAGTTTCAAATGGTCTAAAGTCCATTCATGCAAGAGCTATGTAGATTTTTTTTTTTTTTGTCCTGACTTGGGGGATGGTCCAAGGCCCATTGATTGAAATTCAAAATATGTACTTTTCAATGTCTTTTGGTTGGTTGATGCCACCTTTTCTAAATGGCATTGTTTTTTTCCCCAGTTTTTCTCTCACTCTGATTGATGCTCTAGATACTTTATTAGTAAGTATAATTTATTCCTCCCTAACTTTCTTAGTTATGTTTTGTGTCTTAGTTTTGTGTCTTGCTTATTTCTTTGAAAACACCTGTGTGAGTAGAACATGATATCTGTTCCTCAGGCTTACTATTTCAACTCTGGGGCAATTAAGAACTGCCACTGTTAGCTACACCATTCCCAGTTCTTAGGCACCTTTGGCATTAGATCAACCTTGAAAGTTTGAGAGAGGGGGGATTTGCATTTCTGTGCCTTCCACTTCATGACACAGGAGGTTGCATTCCCATCAAAGCAAACAGCTTCCAACTTACAAAACATTACACTGAAGTACTCCAACTTTGTATGTATCTTGTAATGTTCTGTATTAGTTTGTGATGAGTCACAGACAAACAGAACAGAGTGAAAATGAAGTAAAGGTAAAGCAGCCTTGGGCATGTCCATCTATGTTCCTCTTCCTCTTTTGCTGCTATCAACTAAAACACTAACTATTCACCCCAGTTCCCTTCCTCTTTGCACATCTGACCTGGTTACCCACTCCCATTCAGACACAAAGACTGAGCAAGAACCTTTGAATGGGAGAAAAGACATGTGGGTACCTGACACAACTGTTCATCCAGTATGCAAATCTCAGCCTGGAGTGCATGTTCACAAGTCACTGCTGTGTGAGGGGCACTGAGGCAGCACCTGTAGAACAATTTGGCAGCAGAGTTGTCCCTTCTTGCATAAAACTGAGGCATGGACAGACATACTGAATGGAATGTTGAAGGGTGGGGAACAAAGAAGGAAAAAGAGCCCACAGTAGGGGTTTGGGAGCTGGTAATGCTTTCTTTATTCTGTGTGATACTTTATTTCCGTATCACCCATTCTCATCTTTCCTTTCCTTGAATGTAGAAGTCTTCTATCTCATGAACCATCAACTGTGATTTCAGTTACTTACATTTTGTTCCAGATTTTGGGGAACGTTTCAGAGTTCCAGCGAGTGGTCAGTGTACTGCAGGAGAGTGTGAACTTCGATATTGATGTAAACGCTTCTGTCTTTGAAACTAACATAAGGGGTGAGCTGAACTCCAAAGGTTACTTGGAGTCTTTTGCACAACAAAAGTTGGATCTGTGCTGCAGATGACCATATATTGAGAAAATAAGACTATTAGTCCTCCTTCAGAGCTAATGTATTTCTGTACCGGATGCTAGGACAAGGTTGGGCAACTTGTGGTCATCCAGATGTTTTGACCTACAATTCCCATCAGCCAATGCCAGTTTAGTCAGTAGCAAGGGATGATGAGAGTTGTAGTCCAAAACCCATCAGACTTCAATGTTGGCTGTGTGAGCCCCAATTCCCCATCCCTTGGGGAAACCAAAGTAGAGGGCTGATATCTGTATGCCTGACTAGTAAGCTAGTAAGCTTCCTGGGCTGGCAACTGTCAAAAACAGCATGCTGAGCTAGACAGGCCCTTGGTCTGATCAGCAGAGGTAGTCTTCATGCTGGTGTGTTTATTCTAAATGCTCTCTGGTGTGTGGCTTTTCTTTATTCATTTTCAACCCTCTATTTTGAATGTTTCATGACTTGCATATTTCATTCCCTGCAGTGACACAGGGAAAATGGTTGCTGGGATGAAAACAATGACAGTGTATCCTGGAGAAGCTGAATCTATTATGTGATTCTTCTGTAACAACTGAAAAAAAATCAGACTGCCCTGTCTGATTGGTCCACTTATATATCTTATGATGGGGGCAAGGCTGGGGCCAGCAATATGTCTGGTGATGCTACTTTGTTTCTAAATATGCTTTGTGTGTCCCTGTGCAGTGGTTGGTGGCCTCCTGTCTGCTCACCTGCTGTCAAAGAAGGCAGGTGTTAAAGTGGAAGCAGGATGGCCATGCTCTGGGCCCCTCCTGAGGATGGCAGAGGATGCTGCTCGAAAACTTTTGCCAGGTGAGCTTCCTTGCACAAACTGAGAACTCATTTCCAGCCTTCCTGTATGGTGCTACACTGTAGCCTATGTATTACATGTAGTTTAAGTATTATTTAAATATTAAGCATAATGTTAGTACTCATTTATTATAAAGAATGTATATTGGATCTATCCATGCTTTATGAACGGAATCCCAAGTGGTGTGACCCAGGAACCACATTTTCCTGCTTCACTGAACACAAATGAGGTGTAGGTGATGAGCACTTTACTGTGTTGAAAAGAAGTGTGGGTGTCTCTGATGCATATTTAACAGTATATTAATGAAAGCTGACAATATGGATTCAAGTGTCTGCATTACCCTTGCCAATGAACATATTAAAGCAACAAAAACAGCTTATTGAAGTGTTAGGAAACATGAAGACACTGATGTGGATCTAGAGAAGAAATAACACAGCTAAAGCAATATGACTCTTGCTGGGAGCATATAATAATTCCTTATAGGTTACTGTTCTACCAAACATAAGATGCAATCCTATGCAATCTTACAGTTCCCTGCAAGTCTAAGCTAGCATACCTAAATGAAAGGAAGCCAGGTATTATAGGACATTTTGTCTAAATATGCCTAGGCTTGAACCCTTTCTGATCATGTTGAGCTTATGTACCCCAGATGACTAAATGGGAGGTTATTTACAGACCTGAATGTTATAATGGTTTGATAGTGGCAACTCTCCATAATATTTTCCCTCTATACTTTGTCAGCTAGATTGTGGCAGATTATGATTTGATTTAGGGTGCTACTATATGCATGTTTACTTTGAAATAAGCCCTACAACTCCCAAGATCCCCCAGCCAACATGACTGGATGGGGGGTGCTGGTAGCTGTAGATTGTATGTTTAAATATGCAAAGAGTCATACCCATAGTGTTTAAACTGGTAATAAAGTGTGAACCAAAAGGTGAACAGCTATTGTTGCGGGGTAGGGGGGTATTACCCCACTAACTGTTCCTACTTGGGAATCTGCGTGGAGATTGCTGCATTCTCTGTGCAGTTGGTTGATATTAGACACTTAATCTGGGTACCTCACACCCCTCAAATGCCTTTATCTGGATATGCTCTTTGCATCCTCATTTTAAGAGCCTATACTGGATTATCATGTCCAACGTTTACTAGTATTTTTCAGTTGTTTGAGCTAGTTCTTCAGAATGAGATTATTTCTGGGAGCTGAAAGCAGGAGGTAGAGTACTGAAGTTATGGGACTCGCATGCTAAACTGTTAGCACTGGCATCTGGGAAACTTAGAACCAACAAAGAGCCAATGAACTCAGAGTTCTTGACTCAGAAAAATGTCAGGAGACGAATGTACAGGGCATGTAACAATAGCTTTGGAAAAGTAATGGGTGCTGTACACAATTATTGCATGGATAGTAACGCTCTTGTGAAACCTAATTTCAGAAGCTATACTACTCCATCTTGCAACTTACAAGATCATCTATACAACTGCGAGGGCTAGAAGCGTTCTTATTTTAATTTCAGAGAAGGCTGGGGGTTTTGGGATGCCAAGTTTTATACCAGAAAACAGCTTGTTTGCTTATGCACCAAATCTGTGAAAGCACAGAATGCACACTGTCTTTGTTTAATAGGCACTAGTATGAGCTTATTTATTTATTTAAAGCATTTCTGTGCCACTTGATTAGCATAATGCTCTCAAAATAGTTTACAAAATGTAATTAAATATACAAAATACAACAATTAAAAGAGTTTAAAATAGACTTGCCTGCCATAAAACATCTGTATACAATAAAATTTATCAGGCATATGCAACAATAATAAGCAATACAGTGCAATAAATACTAACGAGTATACCAAACAATTTAAAAGCCAAAATGAAGCGAGAGAATCAACAATTAAAATGGCACCAAAATAAATAAGTTGAATTGTTCTGGTCCACTTAATTCTGTCTTCTTTCATAGAATAGATAATTGACCATATAGACATCTTTTCCCAGCCATCTGATCCTATGCACCTTTCTTTTGTAGCCTTTCAGACCCCAACTGGAATGCCATATGGGACAGTAAATTTGCTGCATGGAGTAAATCCTGGGGAAACGCCAGTCACCTGTACTGCTGGTGTTGGTACATTTATAGTGGAATTTGCTACATTAAGTTATCTTACTGGTGATGCAATATTTGAGGAGGTTGCCAGAAAAGCTCTTAAAACCCTCTGGAAAAATCGGTCTGACATCGGCTTGGTGAGTGAAAATGCTCATGTTTTGGTTTGTCCTTTAAAGTTTCTAAGGAAACTCTAGTACTTGGGGACCTTAGTAAGGCAGAATTCAATTAAAATGTAGCTACCTTAATTAGCTCTGTTTTTCCATTTCTAGACCACCCTTTATCCTAATAGCTTCCCAGGTGGTCTACAGTAATTTCTATTTAAAAAAAAAATCACATCCTTCACTTAACATAGAACTGGGAGACAACAAAGCCATAACATTGCAGTGGAAGGCAGTAAAAATATTTTAGTTCACTAGGGCAAATCAAAATGTCTCAACCTGATGCTGAAACAATTGTAATGTTAACATCAGTCAGACTTCCTTAGGAAGGTGTTCCAGCGTAGGGAGACCACACAGAGGAGGTCTCCTTTCCACAGAAATTACATATTTTACCAGGTAATGGTGCTCATAGAAATATGCTGATCACGGGACAACACAAGTATAACTGTGCTCAGTAAACAGTATGCTTTAATCATGCACAAGCTGGTATGTGATGAATTTGACAAACATCTCCAATTTCATTTGCCCATGTGGAAAGCATCAAAGCCATTGCAGCCATGCACGAGATAGATCCTAACATGTTGGCAAGATATCGCAAGCTTTTACATGCATGATAATATCAGAAGTCTTGCTAAAGTCCAGGTATATAATCACTTGTGCTCCTTGTTTTCTAAGAGCACTATCCTATGTCTGTTTAGATAGGAATAAGTAGATGCTGAGAGCTGCAGGACTTTTCTGTGTCTAAACATGCATAAGGTTAAGCTCTAAACCAAATATTTCTATCTAAGAAAGAAACTGGTCTGATATGGTGTGTGCTGTGCACACATACACACCAGAGATCCAAATATGGTTTCTAGTAATCAGTTGTTTCCTCTACATTCTTACAAATCAGTTGTTTATAAAACTTGATGCTGAAAATCAGCTGCTTGCCCTCACCTATAACATCTTGTGACTTGCTGAAATCTGAGATTTTGAATACAGCTGCAGTGCAGTTTTAACAGAGTGTATGCCTTGATAAAAGTTCTGAGTCAAACGGACTGCACTAATAAATCATTAATGGGACATTAATACGGCTGGTTGAGACATTAGCCTGGATGGCACATGTGTACAAAGGTACCAGTGTGCATTAGAAGTTTAAGAGATGCTGCAGAAATTAAGAATTTTGTAGCTGCAATGAAGTTACATTTTTTCCATTTTTCCCCTCCAAGGTGGTATAGCCTTGCGAGCAACCTGTGATCTGCTTTAGCCAAACTATACTGAAAAGTATAGCTATGCTAATCTCAAACCATGGGTTTACTAGGTGAACTTTTCCTTTCTTCAGGTGGGTAACCATATCGATGTAATAACTGCCAAATGGGTAGCCCAAGATGCTGGCATTGGAGCAGGAGTAGATTCCTACTTTGAGTATCTAGTTAAAGGAGCCATATTGTTGCATGATGAGGAGCTGATGTCCATGTTTTTAGGTGAGATGTCCCTGTGTTTAGTAGATGCATACCCAAGAATCTTTCTTCAGTGTTTTGTCAATACAGTATGTTTAGTTGTTGGATAAGAAACCTACCCATAGGTCTGCAGAAAAGTCTTCTAAATCAGTGCAACAGTTCATTCCTCACTCTAGTCAGAGGATTTGATTCCCATCCTGACAACTAGTCCCCCTAAGCCTCAGCTGATAAGCCACTCAGGCTTTTTAAAGTAGGGGTGGGGAACCTTTGCCCTGGGGGCAAATCTACCCCTCCCCTACTTCCAATCAAGACTTCTGAGTTTCTCCAGATAGTCCTGCCCCCTTTCCTTGGCCAAAACCCCATGTATTTATTTATTATTTTATGCCCCACTTTTTTTTACCAAAAATGGCACTCAGAACAGTTTATGAAACAATTGAACACATTAAAGCACAAAAATGATAATTTAAGAATAAAAAAGGCAAACAGCCTGCAGACTTACTTACAGGATACAGGACTCCCTCTAAATAGCATGGGTTTTGCTGCTAGCAGGTGGATAGCAGAAAATGAATGAAGGTAGCCTCCCCTGAGAGGAAACTGTGTTGGTTCTAAATTGGTGCCACATGTTGGCAATGGAACCAGTAATGCTTTAGTCAATGTCCCTCTTGTTCATTCACCCACAACATCCTAAAAATAATGGGAGAAGATACTCAGTCATGGTCATGATGACACTGTAGAGCCATTTCTCTGTTTCAGAGATTATCCAGGGCTTCAACAGACAGAAAAATCCCCAAGAGCCATCAAAAAACCATTCATATATATCAGTCTCTTGGACTGGACCATCTTAATTGGCCCCCTGGCCCTGCATAGGCTGCAAAACCCAGCAAGTCTAAATCCCAACAGGTAATCTGTTCAAGACAATAGAACTATGGGAAGTTTCTCCATACCAAAGTTACCATCACCCACTCTATACAGAAAACTGGATCAAAAGCCTGCCCTGCTGAATCAGTGGGTACAGTTACTAACTGGGGCAGACCCCATGTAAGCCATGAAATCCTAAGCTACTCCTGCCAAGCTGGAGAGTCCACAACCACCCTTGAAACCACTTTAGCTAGCTGCAGAAGGGAAACTTTTGATTAGTGGGATGAGCAGTTCTCTAACAGAATCTATATTCTGTCCCAAGCACCTACCTTCAGATAGACACTCAAAACTGGAAGATTACAAGATGGAAGATTTGAGCAGAAGGATCAAATTATGATAAGGCGATTGTGACTCCATTTCCCTACCCAAGGTCTTCCTGCATACACAAGTGTTTGTTTCTCATTATTTGGAGGTCTTTTCTATATTCTATAATGTTTTACATTACTTTCCTAAAACCTAGTTACCTGTAGTAAGAGCTTTAAACTACTGTATGTGGGAGGGGGAGGTATACTTTGGCTTCTCCCCATGAGTCCTTCCCCCTTTGCCATCAGCCCCACACACCACTGGAATACAGCCCCTAAAAGCTTTGAAATTCAATTTGATTTGGGGTTTAACGAATTCCCCTATCCTTGTTATAAAGTATTGTTGCCAGCATGCTAATGCAGCAGCTATGCAGCCATCTGGCCCTGCCTCTTCTGAGGTACCTAGATCTAAGCTGCTGTACAAACAGTGAACTGAATCAAACAGCATTTCTTGCAGTCTGCCCAGTTTTTGTTAGCCTGTCCCATCAGCTTAAAGGATATCTTGTGAGCATTTAATCTTTTCCCCTCCATAATAACGTCTGTTCCATCATCTGGGAGTCCCCAAAGTGGTCCCATGGATGCATCTCCATAGTACATTTCAAAGTGTTCCCACAATGGGCCCTATGAGCACCTGAAAAAGTTTTATATGCCTCATCAAAACTGGACCAATTATCCAGATAAATATCCATTTGAAGGGGATGTCTATATGTTACCCATTCAAATATCAAAAGCATTGTAAGGTCCTTAATCCTTTGCATTATAAGAAATAAGTGTTTATGATGCCGCAATTATCAGTCTTTTTTCTGACCATTTGATAATTTTCATGAAGCAGGTAAGTACATCAGTGAAGGTTAAAGACTGTTCCAGTATAAAATTTATCTGTATAATTAACTCCTCCAAAAAGTGGCAACTATAGAACATTGCCAAAATATATGTTTAAAAGAAGCCCACAATTTGGCAAATCAGACAATTTCTTATTAAAGAAACATGGATGTGTTGAATGTGAATGAATGAGAGAGAAAGAGAGAGAGAGAGAGATTGTGTTTCTGGATAAGATGCAGGCTACAATCCATAGATGTAACAGGTAGACATGAAAGCAACAATCCACTAATTAGGCATTTTACTGCGGTGCTCACAGCAATTTCTCAAATTTCCAAATGTGCCTGCTGGTCCAAAATAGTTGGGTACCCCCTATGGTGCAAACGTATTTCCTACAGGTTCATCTTTGCCATTTTTTGATACATTTAAGAATAAATGATATTCTGATGTTGTGTTTCCTCATGGATTAATTGTTGGAAAATGTTTAGAGATTACAAAAGCCTTTTTATTCTAGATTTTATATCTGTTATCCTATATTTATCACTAGATTTTGACTTGCCTTTCTTTATGTAGACTATAACAAAGCTATAAAGAACTACACAAAATTTGATGATTGGTACCTCTGGGTTCAAATGTACAAAGGGACAGTCTCCATGCCTGTTTTTCAGTCCCTGGAAGCCTACTGGCCTGGCTTACAGGTAAGAGCTGCAGTAGAATAAACAGTTTTCTGATGTTTTCCCAAGACATTAGCACAGTAAAAACTGGGACCTGTACCAAAACAGCCTTCTAGCATAGTTGGTAGAACATAAATCCGATCTTTCTCATGTATTTGATAGTATCATATTTAGTAAGAAAGGTAAAAGCAAAGGAGAGAAAATGCCTATACTGGGAAAATCAGAAGCTGGAATTTCCCAGTATAGAAAGCACTCACAATAGAAAGGCAGTGTGGTGTGGTGGTTCAAGTTTTGGACCAGAATACAAGAGATCTGGGTTCTAGTCCTCACTCGGCAATGAAGTTCACTGGGTGACTTTGGGCCAGTCACTGACCCTCAGCCTTACAGGTTAATTGTGAGAATTAAATGGAGAGAAGGAGAGAGATTATGTAAGGCACCAGGGGGAAAAGGCAGAATATAAATAAATAAAATGCAAAGCAACAGATAACTTGCCTGCATTGCTATCTAAAGCTATTCCTGTATATAGAAATAAATGATTTCTTAAACATAGTAGGCATTGAACAAGAACTTGTGGTGCCTGGGTTCGATTATTATTTTTCCCTCCTTGACTAATGTGAAATGGATATGATATGAAATGAAATGGAGTGGTTACTACTGTAGTTCTACGCGTCTCTTTAAGTCAGGGTGTCAAACCTCTTTAACTCTAGAGGCTGAATTCCATTTCAGAAGTGTTCAAGGGCCACATTCCAATGGTGGCCAGGGCCAAAAGCAAAAGGAGTAGCACCAGGTCAGTGCCAAAAATACCAGGAAAGCTTAGCTTCAAGACCTTACCACAAGTAATTAATTCTTAGGTGAGGCATTTCAACTTTTTCAAAATTTCACAAAAACTGTGAAAACAGGAAACAGTGGGTGGCTGGGGGAAGCGGTTTTGCCATTAGGGTTCTGCTTAGTAGTCCACTAAGTATTTGTTGTTTTTAATGGTAGTTTCTGTTTAGGTGAGCACATTTGGTGTTGATTCTTGCGTGGTTGTTTTTTCCTTATCGTTATCTGACCAGAGGTTTTGGGGGTTTTGTTTTTGTTTTTGCTCCCCTTCTAGAGCCTTATTGGACACATAGATAGTGCAATGCGAACATTTCTAAATTATTACACTGTTTGGAAACAGTTTGGTGGACTGCCTGAGTTCTACAATATTCCCCAGGGTTATACGGTGGAAAAGCGTGAAGGATACCCCCTCAGACCTGGTTAAGTATGAAATTAGTCTATTTGTGGTGCCCTCTTTCATTAGTAGAAGACTCATGCAAATATAGTACTGTATAATTCCCAAGTTGTTTTTATGGTTTGCTTTGGTTGTAGAAGAATCCATAGTACAAAAGAGACATACTTTTAAGTTGTTCTAGTACTGTTTGCCATTAAAAATATTTTGCAGGGTGAGGAAAGCCCAATGGCTTAACTATTGAATAAGCTTGAAATGGGTATTGTTCCCTGATATTATCCAAGGCAAGCTGCCTTGAATAGCAACTACCATTTAAGGCAGAATAAAACAAATTCTAAGCTTCAAAGTGGCGGGATAAAATGATAGCATGAGTTTAAAGCGGCTGGAGCCTCTGGCCTCACTTGAGACTGCAGATCTAAGTATTGAACATGCAAGGAAGTAACTACATTAAACTGATTTTAAATTTTGTCTATAAAGAAATTGTTTTCTTTCTATTTTGTATTTGTGGCTTGTCATTTTTGTGAACTACCCAGAGAACTTTGGCTAAATGATAATACTAATGTGTTTCATTTGTTTTGCTTTTTGGGTTTTGCAGAACTGATAGAGAGTGCAATGTATCTCTATCGAGCAACACGAGATCCCACCCTTCTGGAGCTTGGCAGAGATGTTGTAGAGTCAATAGAAAAAATCAGCAAGGTTGAATGTGGCTTTGCAACAGTTAAGTATTTCTTCTGCTCTTCTTTCTCTTGCTAGTGATAGTTCAGTTTATCTCTGTCAAACTTTTCTTGCCACTAGTAGTCTATCAGAATGTGTCTTCTTGCTTAATTCCTCTCCTTATCCAGTACTGATCCTGATTCAATTCTGCAAATTTCTGCTGTAGAAGCAGGGGTTCAATTGATCCTCACCAGGCTCTCCACAGAATGGATATTAGGAGGTGTGGCCATGCCCAGTGTCAATGTCATCCTTTCCATTTTTCCATACCTCTCCAGCATGGAAGAAGGGTCTCAGCCAGAGCCAGGAAGAACAGCAGCTACTCCCAGTACCAGCCTAGTCAAATATCTCATTCATTTCTCATTCTTCCAGTCCGAGGTAGAAAAGATGTGTCAAGGTAGATGCAGGTGGTGCTAGAAGAAAACACCCCTCCCAATGCCAAATGAGGCTGGCACCTCTTTCATGCACCTCTTATAGGATGGTGAAAGGCACAGACAGGAAGAGTGGGCATTTCTTCTGGGGCCAACCAAGTCAGTCATGATCCAGATCCCCACTCTTACCTCCATTCTAAGATCAGTGAAAACCATGTAGAATGTCTTGTGAGCTCATCCCCTCCCAGTGGCACATTGGGGAATCCCCCCATTATCTCCAAGCTTAGACTGGAGGTAACAATGGAGATTCCTCCAGAGGGCTGGGCTTGGTCTCTTAACCTTCACCCCTCGAGAAACCCAAGGACATTTCTGTGGGCTGTCTTTAGAAGTGCTACAGGATGGAGGTTCCATTTCTCTTCTCCAGTAGAACTGAACTAATCTCAATCTTGTTACTGTGACCTCCTCCAGTGTAGCTGGCTAAAATAGTGGTATGTAGGGTTCTGATCCACATAGCATAACCACTGTCTTCCTCCATGCTTTATTTCAAAGATCAAAGACCTGAGAGATCACAGGCTAGATAACCGGATGGAATCCTTCTTCCTGGCTGAAACAGTGAAATACTTGTATCTGCTGTTTGACCCTGACAACTTCATTCATAACAATGGTTCATCCTTTGACATTGTGCTGACACCATATGGTGAATGTATTCTCGGTGCTGGTGGATACATCTTCAATACAGAAGCTCATCCTATAGATCCTGCTGCCCTGCACTGTTGCAGGAAACAAAAGGAAGAGCAGTGGGAGGTAGAAGATTTAATGAGGGAGTTCTATTCTCTGAAAAGAAGCAAGAAGTTCACATTCTCAAAAACTTCAGATAAAACAGAAGCAGGGAGGCAAAAAGATTCTGCAGATGCTTCCTCTGAAGGCTGCAAGGGACACATGGGGTCTAAACAGAAGGAAAAACGAAGAGTCCCGCTTCTGAGCTGCCCCAGTCAACCCTTTAATTCAAAACTGGCTGTTTTGGGACAGGTCTTCTTTGACAATGCATGATTCATTTACTCTGATTCAGGGATACTGGAGCCAATAAATGGATGCTTTATTTTCACCTCCTGTTGTGGTTCTTTGGTAGTCCATATATCATTCATGCTGCTAGGAGATGTAGTTCTTCATCATGGAGTCAGTTCTATTTTGACATCCACGTCGAAAAGCTGAAGTCCTTTGAGAATGGAAGACCCACCTGTTGTTGGGATACTTCTGGATCTCTCTGCAGTTCTCTCATTCTGCGAGCCCTCCACAGGCCTTTTAACTCCCCCTTTTCTCTTTAAGAAATGGTCTGTGCTGCATAATGAAAAGCAAGTAAGAAAAAAACAACACTTTGGCTTTAATATCTGTGTCTTGTGTGATGACAAAGATGCAACATGGGATTTTAGTATCTTATTAAAAATATTGCAAGCAAAGCTTTCAAACTTAATATTCTTTGGACATAGGTTTCAGAGCAAAGATTTTTTTAATGGTTGCAGGTACCTGAATATAATGCAATCCTCTGGATCTTATACAAGTATAATGTTTCAGTAGATGGACTGATGAAGCTGAAGTTTGAATGCTTTCTGTAGAATTATTCCAATAAAAGACATCACCTATAATTCACAAGGTAGATATTTACATGGCGTAGACAGCGGGAGAAACAGGATCCAGACTGGCCGTTCCATGAATAGAAGAGATCCTTTCATTACAAAGGGCCTCAGTATCCAGTGGTGGAGAGTGGAAGGGATAGGCAGGTTATTTTTGCTAATGCTCTATGTTGTTTCTCGTGCTGCTCTGGAGTGTATCCCAGCCATCCAGAGCAACTTTGCAGGAACCACAGGGATGAGGTGTAAGGAATTGTGAAGATTGCCTCTGTTAGTGTGAAAGGAACTCTGCTACATGCCACTCTGTATTCATGGGCAAATCTACTTGGCTTTTTGTCATTGTTGTTTTTGTTCTTTTAGCAGAAGCCTGAGATCCACCAAGCAGAGTCTGGTACAAAAGGGATTTTAATAGAGTCCCAGAACTGAATAGCGCTCACAGTCCCTCTGCACAAATAGCTTCTCCTGGTTACACCAAGCTTCCTTTATTTCAACAATGTAATTTGGGGTGGCAGAGGCAGGAGCCAAAGCCATTTTGTTACCGGTAGAGTTAAAAAATTGAGAGTCAGTAATATTCCAACCCTTAGTTTCCTGTGGTAGCTATGTATTAGTCCTGACTTAGAAATCACTTAATGCACATTTCACCTTGACTCAGATTCTGCTCAATAGCTTGAAACAACCCACTATGCCAGAAGTGGTCACCCAGAAAACCTCTCTGGAGCCATGTGCTTGCTTGCCCTCTCCCTC